ACAGCAATGCCTCCTGGGTATCATAGGCGTCAATCTATAAGAAACGATGGGGATGCGTCCTCTCAAATTATTGAAATGGTCCCATTCATACCTATCAATATTTTGAATGGTCCTGGATATTCATGACCCTGTATGACAACAAAATAACTTATTTTATCTTATAAATCTGTATAAACAAAAGTATCTGAAAAGAATAATGAACAGTTGCGTGAGATTTGTAATTGGTGCCCCGAGATACTACCATGTCTCTCACCATTACACTGAGTTAGAGTGGCTCTTCCCCTCCATTCGAAGACAATATTTCCTAGGTACATTCCTCTATCATATCATCAACAATCATCGTCCTTCCTACGCCTACAACCTTCTCCAATTCAAGTCCTCAGTCCACTCCCTCTCCACAAGATCTCGACCTTCCGACCTTTACATTCCTTCTCACAGATCTGCCTCGTTCCAAAACTCCTTTATTGCACATTCTGTTAGTTTCTGGAATTCCCTTCCTATCAAAATTCGACATTCTTCATCCTTATCTACATTCAAAACCCTCCTATTCCAATTCCTGTCCCAAAAACAGTCAGGCACCAGCTAACCTTTTATGTAAAATTACATATTATCTATAAGACCATATTCACATATACCTCATGATCTGAATACTTATTATAGATTCGACTTTCTTTTTCTCTTTTTTTTCAACAGAAACAGATTTTACTGTTAAGAAGAATATACATTTATTTTTTCTGTATTTTTTATTTTTTCTAAAAGGGTTTATTTATATTTTAACATTGTACATAGTTTTAAGTATCTTAGTATGGTTTCAAGAGTTTTTTATATAGATTTTTATATTTTATTTTGTATATAGTATGTATAACCAATATTTTTTTCTTTTCTTTTCTTTAATGACTTATCTTTATCTTAATTTGTTATGTTTGTTTTTATCTGGCCAGATTTAAAATTTTAATTTCTGTACTTTTTTGTTATTCTGAAGGGATTTCGTCCCAGAATAAAATTATTTTTCTATTCTATATGCATAAATAAGTTCACTATTATTATTGAAGGCGTGCAGTATTCCTTTGTCTATAATCAATTCGTATTAATAAGCGTTTACACATTATCCAAATTAAGCCGAGAACAAGAGTCTTTGTTTTTGACTCGATCATGTTTCCCATGTTCATGGGCAATCCGTCAACATAGAAAGGACACCTAACAGAACTTGTGGAAAGCATTACACAAGCGTTAAGGTTGATCGAAATTTCATCAGATATCTGATTGACTTTATTAATGGTTTTTGTTGTTTTCGAATATGTTTAAAAAGTAGCAGATATATCCGGTATACACTGATTTATTAAGTGTGTGTGTGCGAAAATTTCGTGAATCAAGAAATTTCAATGACCGAACTTATTGGCACACACCATAAATAACCTATAATTAAAGTACATATGTAAAAATGTTTACTTGAAAAGCAAAATTGATGTTTTAAGAATATCACCTTATCTAGTTTCCTGCTCTCTGTTATGAACATATTTATCCATCGAAATACAACAAGTATTTCCATTGATTCCTTGCTGCTTATTTCATAAATGGGCAAGTGAATGTATTGTTCTGTAGTATTTTTTTTTTTGTTAATATCATTTTTGTTTTATTATAAATAAACACTTTTTAACTATTGGTTGTTATTATTTCCTTTATTTTCAGGAGGTTGATAATGGTTTTAGAATCCTCATATCTAAAACAAATTTAAAATTTAATAATATTATATGAAAGTATTGAATGAAAATAATGAATTGGTAACATAACAGGTTAAGAGTTAATAAAATTTATTATCTGTCCTTTTTCATTATCTTGAACTATTTTATTTTGTCTTGGAGAATTGGCTGATTGTTAAAATTTTATCTGTATAGAACCCCTTAAAAGGTCAACATTATTAAGTTAATATCGAATTAGATCAATATATTGACAGGAACTATTGAGTCAATATTGAATTTGATCGATATATTGGTAATGTACTACATTGGCTACATATTGACAAAGATTATTGAGTCAATATCGAATTTCATCAATATATTGATCTATATATTATATTGGTGTCAATCAAACTGGTTGATATCATTGCTAAATAATATTGAGTGTCAATATCATTGCTCATATAAGGGCTGTATTGGGTAATATTAACAAAAGTTAATTTTTATTTGATGAATTTAGTAAATATAATGACTTTACTACATTTTCAATACATTGACCTAAATTAAATCTATATATTATATTGAAGTTTATCAAACCTGTTGATATAACTCAATAATGTTTGAATATCAATATTATTGCTTTTGTGAGGGTTCTATTGCGGAATATTAACAAAAGCTAATTTTATACAATATTTAGTAACATTGTTTTCTATTAATAAACTATTTCTTAAATATTAAAGAAATAGAAGCCAAGAAATATTTTAAATTCTAGGAATGAAATAAAATATTATAAATAATATTAATAAGATTCACAGATAACATAAATGTCAAGGTTACATTATAGAGTGAATAAAATATACATTAAATACGAAATTTCCATTCCTATACTTGCCTATTACAATTGGATAAACATTATTAAAAATAAACAATTAATAAATAATTCGTTGGTAATTTTATGGAAATTATTATTTAAGCATTGTCTAATAAACAGTTAATTGTAACAATAAAATAGAAAGATATTTTTATTATGTAATTTTATTTTTTAATCCCACAATCAAAGAAATGATATTGTGGAAAATTACTTTATTATTTATGAATCATTTATATGGGATATGTATTTTATTAATGTTAATAATTAGTAAAGTATAAATAAATGTAACAATAAAGTTGGCAAGACTGGTTCAGACCAATGGCACCATGGGTAACCAAATTTGCATGTTTTTGTTTAAGATCTCACAACAAGTTAGTGTGACATGAAATTCATTATCATTCATGTTCGGGACAATGAAAGAAGGAAAACTGATTCTTAGGAGAAAGGTAAACGGTAACTGACAAAACATTGACTCAATATTATTGACACATGTGAGGTGAACTCTTCAATATATTTCTTCTAATTATATTGCTTAAATAATATTGACCATGAGCCTCTTGTGAATTATGGTGTTTCCCAAATCGACGATTGTGTTATTACAAAAGGTTGTTGAATTATTAATTAGTACTTGCTGAGAAAATATAGCAAACAAATGTTTTATTTTTACTTCAGGAATACTATATCTGCCATTATACAAAGATTCTTTCTAATGGTGATAAATAGTATACTTTTCAAAATCATTGTCTACTTGCCTTAACTTTCCATGTTTATGTTAGAACATCATTAACGGCTTTTGAATATTTATAGATGACAAACACCATGAACAAATAAATAACATATGTTTCAGCTCAGCAAGAAAAATATATGCTTTTTATGAATTATATTTCAAATAAATAATTCTGATTTATTCACTGTTAAAAGATACTGTTTACTAGAAAATTTAATTGTTTTTTTAATTGCTGATTATTTTTTTGTTAATAATAAATAACAAGGCACCCTATCTAGCTCGTGTTTTTTCACATGATAGAAAATAGAGAAAATGCATCAGTAGCTGAAATACTTAAGGAAATTTGGAAGTTTTAAGTGTAAAAACTTAAATATTGATGTTATTGTATTTTTTTTTTAAATTCATCTTATAGAATTACTTCTCAACCTTGTACCAAGGCACATTTAAAATCCATGAAACATCCTACTAAAAAATTGTTAATTTATAGAAGATTTTTGTTGTAGCTAATAATACTAACGGAACCAGATTTTAGTTTTTGGGGGGGAGGAAGGAGCTCCAGCCCAATTTTTTTTTTTTTTAATATATAACGATAATTCCGTACGAAGAAAAAGAAAGGAACTAACTAACTATGTGAAATAGAGTTTAGATACTATTAAATATAATTACACGAACAATAATACTTTTAGAGGTAATTATCAAACACTTTTTTATAAGAAATGGTTATATTTTACCATGCTGGGGGGAAAGTTCACCCTGAAAGAGCTCCTAACATGGCTAACACTGTTGAAATGTTTCTATATCTGACAAAGGTAAGAATGAGGATGTAATGATGCAAAATAAATAGCTCAAATATTATATTCTTCATTTTTAAATTGATATTAACCAAAATTACTTTAACTTAATATAAAACTAAAATCTATTTTTGCTTTATATTTAGTCCAAATCACTAGCATTTTTTTAAATGATATAGTTGTGAATGGTTTCATTTTAAAGATCCGTTATATTAGGTATATAGAATATTAAGTTTTATTATTACAAATGTAGAGTGCTACCAGTGGGTAGTTTCTCAACAAGCGTGTTTCATGTAATAATATTTCTCTGTACAAATTTACTAGATGTATTCATACTAATACAGTTGTAAATATCATAATAAAAGTTTTAAAAAAATTATTACAAATAGAATTGAAGTCCTAACCAACAATATTAAAATACATAAATATTGAAAACCATGATGTTTATTAGTTATGAGCTTAATAAAATAGTAGTCTATGATATACATTAAGCTATCAAAATTTATCATATTTTTTTAAACATTAAAAAAATAAATAAAATATTCTAGCCAGAAATGCTGTTGCTTATATTTATTAGTTAACAACTAATCCTGTGATTAAGAAGGAGGAGGGGAGAGGGGTTCAATTTTAAGGACTTATGAAAATTTACTTAAGAAGTCACATTTTTGGGATGATTATTAAGTAGCCGATTAGTTTAAATAAAATTTTTAGTGTCGAATAAATAACCATAATCTTAGAGGCATTGCGGATTGATGTCAACACCTGCATTGAAAAATACAATCACCAGACCAAGTCAATATTAATTAAGCTTGTAAACATATTTGATTTGTTGATTACAAAAGAATAATTATTTTCACTTGTCAGAAGGGTCTATATGTCACTAAATCATACACTAATTTTTCATTCAGTCTATAACAACAATGGGCGGGGAAGATTTTCCTATATAAATCTTGCACGAATCAAGATAGCACATACCTCATCATTCTGAGGTGTCTGACAGCAGTTTATAAAAACGGACACTGTTATTTGAATATCCAAGGTACGTGAAATATTATGCATTTTCTGATTGTCTAATTTTTATTTATCTCATAAATACTATTTTAATCTAAATTACTGAGGATCTTTTTTTTTTTTTTTTTTTTGCAACTTGCAGATTCAAATTAATCCTGGATTGATCCTATTTGGTTAAAACAGTTTTATGATATCTTAGTTAGCGGAAAAGTTAGGTGGTCCGTTAAACATTGATGTATCAGGTGTGAGTCACCCCCTCCCTTCCTCGCTTTTCAGGCTATACCGGTGTTTTTCGGATCAGAAGAGGGTGCGGAGGATTATTGTCATAAAATCCCCCACGCGAACCCGTGCTTGTGAAACCCACGCGTGATTATTTTATGGTATTAGTTTCAGTTTATCATGTTGCTGTGCAACGCTTTTATGTCAGGCCACTCCTCTGTACCAGATGTTGGTATTAAATAACAATACAACAGTTTTTTTACTTTCCTAACTATACTAGGTAAGGAAAGTATTGCGATCGGGTAAAATTTCCGATGTGCATTTTTCGGCGGATCTATACCTTTTAGAGCCTCCGAAAAACAAATTTTCAGCCATTGGTCTGTCTGTTTGCGCCAAGCACTAGCGGATCCAGTCTATTATTAGCGGATTGGAGTCCTATTAAATGTAATTACGCGAATTCTTTAAGAGATAAATAAAAAAAAATAATAAAAAAAATAAAAAAAATAGAAAGGTAACATTTTACTATTTTGGAAGGGAGGTAGAGGGGCTTCAGCCCGAAAGCCCAAACCCCACCACAGATGTCTGTAGTGCCAAGATCATCTCGGGAAATAGGAGACCGATTTCGATGATTCTTTTTTTATTTTGTAAGGTTTTTTTACTATTAATGCCTGTGGCAAAAATTGGGTACTCCCTGCGCAATAAGTGAAAACATATTTTCCATATAATTTATAATTTTCTAATTAATCTCCTTTTAATTTTCGTAAATGTACTAAATTACCGAAAAAAATCAGGAAAAAAGTTATATAGAAAATCTTTCACTCATAGATGGCAATATATGTGGAATGAGAGTCCGCCAAGAAAATTTAAAAAAAACTATAAAGCCATGGTCAACATCAAATCGTTATATGCGCAGAGAAGAGGTTGTTTTAACCAGACTGAGAATAGGCCGCACCAACCTTACCCACTCACATCTCATTAGCAAGCAGCCACCACCACAATGTCAACGCTGCAATAATACATTTACAGTCAGCCACATATTGCAGGAGTGTCATTTTTACATATCGAGTCTAAATAGTTTAGGACTTACACTTCCAATAGTAAACATTTTAAGTGATTACGAAAACACAATAAAGTTATAGCCCAGGAGCCAGGGCCCAAAAATCGATCCCATTGCAGGCGAAGGTTTGATTGTAAATTACGAAAGTGTATATTATTCGGAGTAAAAAGAACCTTGTCTGCCGTTCCAGAGCCGCTGCTTTAGAGAAAATTAGGATTTAAAGAATTTGAGGATCGAAAAAGATAGGAAAGGCAAAAAAGACAAATTTTTTCTATACTTTTTTGTTTTTTTCACCTTTAACTCCTTTAAGATGCAGCAAGCGATTAAAGAACGTTAAATTTTGCGTCAAACGAGTTATTCTGGCCTACAATAAAAATGTCAGTACTCAGTTGTCGCAAAATTTGATGCTCTATCACTTTGATTCTATAGGTTTTTCCTCTAAGGGAACTCATTTCCAAGTTACAGGGCCATTTATATTAATTTGTCTCAGTTTTTGACAACTTTGGTAAACATCAGTGTTGGTTGACCGTGGTTTTATACCTGACCACGTAAACAAATTATAAAGTTTACGTACTCGTTTGACCCAAATTTTATGGTTTTTAATTTATTAAAGAATACATGGTACACTTTGATGTATCGTTTAGGAGTTAAAGGTAAAAACGATAAATATAGAAAAAAATCTGTCTTTTTCGATCCTCAAATTATTGGCCTAATATTCTTTAAATCATCCACCATTTTAGAAAATAACGGCTCTGAAACGACAGACAAGCTTCTTTTTACTCAGAATAACACACGGGCGGATCTACGGAGGGGGGGGGACTTTCGGGCTGAAGCCCCCCCAAAATGGTATAATAAAACCATGTTTTATCGCAAAAAATATTAAAAAATTATCTCTTAAAGTATAATTATTCGTGTAATTACATTTAAAAGGGCTTTAGGAATCACTTAAACACCATTTCATATAGGTAGTTAGTTTCTTTTTTGGCTGTAAAAAGTTTTCTCTTGGTGGCCCGCGTTAGCAATTTTTTTTTAGATGTCTAAACCCATATATACAAGTTAAAAAATAAAAACTATTCTCACATTTTTAGTAATGGATTTCCCGTTTCGATCCTCAAATTATTGGTCTAATAATCTTTAAATCAGTCGCCATTTTTAGAAGCTGGGGCTCTGGAATGGCAGACAAGGTTCTTTTTACTCGGAATAACATATAATTTCGTAATTTACAATCAAACCTTCGCCCGCGATCAAGTCGATGTTTGGGCTCTGGCTTCAGAGCTATTATTATTAGGTTTCTTGAAGTCAAAAGATTTGTTTACAAAATTTTTAAATCGCTTAAAGCTTTAATCAGGAGATAAACGAAATTAATTCACAGGCGTTGATGATCCTGAATTTTCACGCTTTAAAAAACAAAAAAACAAACAGTTATAAAGAAAAGTCTATAAAATCTAAAATCTAATCTAAAATTTAATTATTTTTTTGTTTCATAACGGATTTTTAGTTACAAGTTATTTAAAGACATAAAAACTTTCCTGAAATAGGCAGGAGAGTCGTGTGACTTAGTGTTGCCCAAATGAGAGACCGAGTCTTGGTCTTGCAAACTCAGTCTTGGTCATGGTCTTGGTCTTGCGCAAGAATTTCGCAACAGTCTTGCAGTTACTTATTAGCTCATTACTGTAGAGTTATTGCAATTAATTGTTAGATAGGAGAAACCTAACTAAACCTGAATGAAAAATTAGAGGAGTTAAATGCAAAAGTATATTGGTCATACCACTTATTAACATATAGTAACTAAGATTGTCGAATATTAGTAACTGTTTTGCCTTGAATTTTTATTTAAAAAATCAATTTTTTTTAATAGTCCTGGTCTTGGTCTTGCAAATTGCAAGACCAAGACCGATTTTTGGCAACACTAGTGTGAGTGGACACACCAGATTTTTTTTATTTTGTAAACATTTACTTATTACAACCTTCAATGTACACCCCTCCTCTACAATATACACCCCTCCTCTATACACCCCTACAACGTTCTGAAAAAATCTTCCATTGCCTGAGCTGTGCTGAAAGTCTTCTGTCTGTTTCTTCAGAACATGTCTCGCTTTCTCTTTCAAAAATAACGTGAATGCAGCAATGTTGATTAATAGTTAGACCTTGAAGAAGCGATTGAATGTGCGCGATCCCATAAATATTGAAAAATAAATAATCATTAGTTTAGAACCGTTGAAGCTGTGAAAGAGTAAGTGTCTGATGAGCGGAGGGGGAGTGGGATAGCGCTGATTGGTGACAAACATTTTTTAAATTTATTTTTTAAAATTTCATTTTAATAAAATTTACATCTGTATTACATGAAAAATACAACAAGTAAATGTGACATTGTTATCATGACATGTACAATGAAAAGAAACTACCCATTGGTAGAACTCAGATTAAAGTTCTATATTAGAAGGTCCCGAGGCCATCTTCTTTTCAGGCGCCTCGGAGGGTTATCAGGAATAGAAGAGGAAGCAAGAGGGTTCGGATGGTTCAAAAGTTTATTACGGAAGGATAGGTATCAGAATTGAACTAAATCGGAAACATATGGTACATTAAGGTCGTTATGATTTTATTTGTGACAAAGTAAGGTGCATTGAGGATGTTACGAACGATTTTGGATTGTAAGGATTGAATACGTGAGGAATTCGATAGAAAAAAAGTTGAAATATTCGAAAATTTGGAGGAGTTATGACGTTTTTTCTCTCTCCTGAAAAAATTGAATTTTGTGACTGGAGTCGTTTCTGCAGTCACTGATTCAAATTGCACTGAACCCAAGACCTTTCATGGGTTGTACTGGTACAGGTGTTTTTTTTCACTACCATGTAGGGTGAATGTACCACTTATGGACAGGTTCGACTTTGAATGTAAATAATAAGATTCCTTGTTGATTTAAAGGTTCCAGCTTTTTCAAGATTGAAGAACAATGCCCTCTATTGACAAGTGTGTGAACATGAATTCCTATCATATTCCTATAGTACTCTTGAGATCAGTGTGTTTCATACCTTAATACTAACAGTTTTATTAAGAGTAAGTTGAACATTTATCTTATCTTTATCGTTAAATAAAAATTTTAGAATTTTTCTGGTATGTCCATAACTGGTACCGAGCCCCTGTCTATTACTAGAACAATTGAATTTCGGGGTGCCCATCACTAGTGCAAAAAGGTGTTTTTTTTTTTTTAATGGAGGTTAAACCTGCATAACCGAATATTTTTTCAATTTTAAAGTGTTAAATAGAAAAAGGAGACCATAGATACTCTATATGTCCAAAGAAATAGTTTATAACAATAATAATTACGGCGGAATAAGCAAAAAAAAGAATAAAATTTCCTTAGCTATGTACATGATTGGTGCGCTTTCCCTATTTGGTTTTATCTTAATTAATTTGTAGGTTGTTTGTTCTTAGTCTCTTATCACAATGTACTCTTGACAGTAATATAGGTAATATATATTTATAATTGATACGGTGTAGATTTTATTTTTACAAAACATTACAGACAAAATATATTTTATTTATTATAATAACGGTTGGACTTACCGAAATGGTTTTATTCTATATAAATTTAGAATGCCCAACATACTATAATAAATTCCATTTTCCAAATATTTTGCCTGAATTGAAAGTTCCCAGTTTTAAGCCAATTGCGACCACTGTGTGTTGTCTCAAAAATTTAATTAATTAATTAACTTAATTAATTAAATACATTTTACCGAATAATATATAGCTAGTGATTTAGGCCCCATAACATTTTTTTTTCTTTATAACTTTTTTTCCCTGAATTTTCTCGGGAATTTAGTCCATATACGAAAATTGAAAGGACAATTATTAGAACATTATAGGAAAGTTTCATCAAAATCGTTAGAGCCGTTATCGCGTTACAATCTATAGAAAAATATGTTTTTCATTTATTGCGCGCAAGATATTGCGCATGAATTTCAGTCACATGCATCAGTCAAAACCCTATAAAATAAAAAAAGAAGCAACAAAATCGGTTCAGTAGTTCCCGAGAAAACCTTGGCAGAGACAGACCAATGGCTAAAAATGTGTTTTTCGGACGGAAACGTATAGATCCGTCGAAAACCGCATATTGGAAATTTGACCCGATAGCAATACTTTCCTTACCTAGTATAGGCAGGAAACTAAAAAACGGGATCGAAACGTTGAATAAACAGCAGGCGCAATGAAAATTTAGTAGTTTATTGAATAATTATTAAATGACCTTATTCTCAATTAAATAATTATGTATATATATATATATATATATTATTTCCAAAAAGAATTTTTTTTTTTTTTGTCGGTACGCCATATCTTCGTCAATTCTCGATCAAATCCAATGATTGACCACTCATTTTGATGATCTTCTACTTCACTTGCGAAAAATAGTTATACCCTTCCTTCCCCCGAAATTTCTGGAAAAACGTTATGAAGGAAATGAAACTTTATTTGCGAATAATTCAAAACGTTTCTTGATTGGACCCATGATTATTAGAACGATTACTAAGTTAAATCTACGAACAAAAAAAATCCGTTTACTATTATACTACTTTTTTTCCTGGCTAATATATACTTTTTCGAATCCCTTCTCATGGCAGAAAAATTATTTATTCTGTTTCATTGGCCCTAGGGTGATCCTGGGTAGGTAGACCCTCCTGGGGCACAGCTAGCATCAATAAAGTGAGTATCATTAATTAAAATAATTATGGAAAAACCAGGGGTTGAGCGTGATATCGGTCAAATCACCTCCTTGCACACCGTAGACCAAAAAACAGTGCTTTCCCTAAATAGTACTGAACCCAAGACCCTTCATGTATTGTAGTGGTACAGATGTATACTTTATTATTTTGTAAAGGCATTTTTTTGTTCATACATTTGATATTTTTTAATAATATAGAAAATACCATGATCAACGCTTTATTTTCAATATTACCGGCCAGTTTTTGAAAGTCGGCCCTAGCAAACCAATTCGTACAAATATTTTGGTCCATTATGTTAAATTAACTATTGTAATCGACCAAGGAAAAATTATTATCCTAACTATCCTCTCTCACATAATGCATAAGATCTACTTATTGGTTTATTATTTTCAATAATGAAACATTGTGATCGACCAAAAAATTCAAAAACATAACCCCCTCTCAAAATTTGAGGTTTCACGTTTCAAGATGCGTAGAAGTCCAAAAACGAATACAAATTTTTTGTCCTTCCGCCGTCCGCGCATTTTCTCCGAAACTACAGGACCGATTTTTTTTAAATTTTGATATAAAATCAGAGGTCACCCGAGGATGATCCTCATTCATCGACATTACTCTCCGCCTTTAACTTTCAAAATGGCGGCCGAAAAACCTGCGTTGCTATAGACTGTAGCTCCTAAACGAATGTACAGATTTCAATGAAACTTCGCTAAAGTAATTTTCTCGACGCTCTTTAAATTTATCTATATAACACACTTCAACGAAAAGAAGCTGGTTTTTTAAAAGTTTATGAAATTTACTAAAAAACAAAAAAAAGCATCGTTAAAATCGGACAATTAAGAGCAAAGATATGGTCTCTGGTTTGTTTTTATAAATTTTAAATGTGTTACTGAAATAATGTTATTTTTTTTTTAGCATATTTGTAATGATTAAAGAAAAACAGTTTAGTCCAATAATTGGAATCACCTTTCTTTTTTTTCTTTGTAACTCTGATGGTAATGTTACTTTAGATGTATAATTGTTTGGAGATAATAAACCATTGTGAAATCATTTGCAGCGTTTTTTTAATATTATTTTGTATTTCTTCAATAAACAAAATTGTTCGCACGGGCCAACTATATAAATATATATATATATTAGTCCTTAAATTGTTTTTCCCGCTCTAAATTACATTTAATCCTGGAAACTATTAGCTAATCGGATTCGCTGAGATACTGTTTGGCGATTCTCTTATTCTTCCGTGTCACGTAGCAGAAGCAATCTGTGGTTAATATTTAGTTTGGTTTCAGCCTTAACCCGAGTTGGATCTCAAGATGTTCTGCAATCTGGCCTTAACCTTCACAGGAGTTATCTTCTTCGCATCGCTGCTCAAGTAGGTACCCTCACGAGGATTATAAACGCTTTCTTAGTCACGTAAGAACCTTGCAGAAATAACTGTACAATTCTGTGGAAGTTTAATTGTAATCTTTATTGTTTATTTTGTTATACCTTTTTTTTTAATTATTACTATTATTCATGAATGAATGAATTTTTTTTTTGGGAGTGGAGTAGCAGAAGAAGATTTGATTGTAAATTAAGAAAGTGTATGTTATTCCACTAGCGGATCCAGAATTTAATTTTTTGGGGGGCTTCAGCCCGAAAGCTTATTTTTTCATAAAAATAACAATAATTACTTTGGTAAATAAGAAAGAAACTAACTGCCTATATGAAATTGTGTTTAAGTGATTCCTAAAGCCCTTTTAAATGTAATTACACGAATAATTATACTTTAAGAGATAATTATTTAATATTTTTTGCGATAAAACATGGTTATATTTTACCATTTTGGGGGGCTTCAGCCCGAAAGCCCCCCCGTAGATCCGCCCGTGTGTTATTCTGGGTAAAAAGAACCTTGTCTGTCGTTTCAGAGCCGCTATTTTCTAAAATGGCGGCTGATTTAAAGAATATTAGGCCAATAATTTGAGGATCGAAAAAGACAGACAAGCAAAAAAAGACAGATTTTTTTCTATATATTTTGGTTTTTTCACCTTTAACTCCTAAACGATACATCAAAGCGAAAAATGTATTCTAAAATAAATTAAAGAATGTTAAATGTTACGCCAAACGAATACATAGACTTCATAATTTGGTTACGCGGTAAGGTATAAAACCACGGTCAACCAACGCTGAGTTTAAACAAATTTGTCAAAAACTGAGACAAATTACAATAAATGGCCTTGTAACTTGGAAATGAGTCCCCTAAGAGGAAAAACGCATAGAATCAAAGTTGTAGAGCATTAAATTTTGTGTCAATTTGTGGGAATTAAAAAAAATAAATTAAATGGTATCTATGGGTTTAAACATGTAAAAGGCAGACGTGGGCGACTCAGGAAAAACTTTAATAATTTAACGTTCCTTAATTTCTTAAGGAGTACGTTTTCCGCTTCGATGCACCTTTTAGGAATTAGAGGTTTTTCTCACTTCGTAAAACCACGGGCGGATCTACGGGGGGGGGAGGAGGGGGGCTTTCGGGCTGGAGCCCCCACCCCAAAATGGAAAAATATAACCATGTTTTATCGAACAAAATATTAAAAAAGTATCTCTTAAAGTGTTATTATTCGTGTGATTAATATTAAAAGGACTTTAGGAATCACTTAAACACCATTTCATACAGGTAGTTAGTTTCTTTCTTTTTTTCCTAAGTAATTATCGTAATTTTTAAGAAAAAAAAGCTTTCGGGCTGAAGCCTCCCCTCTCCCCCCAAATTTAATCCTAGATCCGCTAGTGCGTAAAACTCATTGTTTTTAAGAGCTGTAAAAGTGATTTACACTGCGGAATTAATATACAGGGTGCCCAGCAGGAAATGTCAGTAATTGAGCGGAAGATAGTGTATCGAAACTGTAGGTCAGAGCCATCTCATAGCTCATAGCTATAGCTCAATTCATTGTCAAAATATGTTTTAAAAGTTAGAGATAACTAACGTTTTTTTTTTAATTAATTTTTTTAAAAATCATATAATAATAATAATAATAAAAGGCTTAGCGAACCCGAAGGTTCGATGCCGACACCACCAATCGCTTATTACACACCTCCCTCCACCGTTCGCCGTCCAAACCCAGTCCCTTCAGATCGGCTTTAATGCAATCTTCCCACCTTCGCTTCGGTCTACCCCTCGGACGCTTACGATTCGGCACAGCAAATATGAATCTTTTAGGAAGTCTCTCGTAACTAAGTCCAACAACATTACAAGCCCATTTGATTCGCCGCGATGAAATTACCTCAATTATATTACCCGGATACAGTTCACGCAATTCGGCGTTGTGTAACCGTCTGAACTCTCCGGTTAACTCATCCTTCTTCGGTCCGAATATTCTACGCAATACTTTATTTACAAAAACCTTAAGACGCTGCTCATCCCTTAATGTAAGCGGCCAAGTTTCGCATCGATAAAGAACTGTAGGCAAGATGATTGTCTTATAGATTCTAATTTTTAAGTTCCGGGACAAGAGGCGCGAACTGAGTAGTTTTGTCACAGAAAAATAACAAGCATTTCCCGCCTTCAGTCTAACCTTAATCTCTTCTTCAATTTCGTTTTTTCTAGTTATCGTAGAACCTAGATACCTAAATTTATCTACCTGTTCAAACATATTACCATCTATATCGATATCGCCAGTAGTATCGCCATTTTTGCAGCTAACCATATATTTTGTTTTATCCACGTTTATTTCGACTCCTAGTTTTTTTACCGGCTTTCATTAACGTTGTCGTATTTAGTTTTATAGTTTCAACGTCTTCGCTTAACAGTACCAGATCATCAGCATAGCCCAGCACGGATGTTGTCCCACCCAGATCCAACCCTTTCTCGTTTTAAATCATATATATATCTATATATATATATATATATATATATATATATATATATATATATATATATATATATATATATATATTTTTTTTTTTTTTTTTTTTTTTTTTTTAATTCCCCCACTCGTGGAGGGAAAAGCGAGGCTTAGGAGAACTCTGCGCTGTTATTTAAAACCATCGAAGGCTGAGTAATGGAGCTACAGCGTGATAAACTCGTGACTTGAGTGGAGAATGTGGCTATTGCCAGAACTCCAATATATACATAATTACAAAAGGTATTGGGGCCACTGCCGCTTTAACCTACACGGGGGTTTGTAGAGATGGGTGGTACTAGATACGGACTGTGCTTCGAGTTTTGGGTGATGAGTAAGGTTTTGATGAAATTTGGAAACATTTTCTGGGATTAGATCGAGAATAAATGATTATGCCATTATGTAGAGTTTTGGAGACATAGAATGGATCATCGACTATTGCTCGGAGGACTTAGTACTGGAAGGATTGAATGCGTTTAATTTTAGAAAATTTATCTGTTCCCCACAGTTTTAGTCTGTAAGTCCAGATGAGTTTCAGTATTGTCTTGTAGATCAGTAATATGTTTTCAATAGAAAGTTTAGATTTTATATTCAGTATTCTATAAAGCTCGTCCATGTCGAGGAACTGTCTTTTAAATCTATTATGTGGGTTTCATGTTAGTCGTCTGTCTAAGAGAAAGCCAAGATACCGGACTGTGTCAGAGAAAGGAAGCTGATGGAGTTAAAATAAACTGAGCACCTCTTACTAATATCATTTTAAATATTGAAAATTTTCAGTTAGAATTTTGTCATTTTAGAATGCATTTTAGTGAGACTAGGTTCTGATGTACAGATAGAATCTTGTCAAACCAATTTTTTTTTTTTTTTTGGGAGGGGAGGAACAGACGGGGGGGGGGCGGCTCTGATAAGATCGTAAATTCACATAGAAATTTCTCTTAATGTTTTTATTTTTATTTATTGAGCAATATTTTTATCAGCAATAATAAGCTTGAACAATGTATCGAAAAGTAATTTTATAACCAGCTACATTCGTAAATATATTCAAATATTCTTTAGACTAAAAGTTATTCGCGATCACGCTTACAAAAAAAGATTGTAACGTAACACAGAAAAGGTATTAGAATTAATACAAGCCATAACATTAAATGACAATAAAGAGTAAATGCATGTAAATGCATTTGATACCCAAATCTTTTGTAATAACAAAATAAAAAATACCTATTGCTTATCGGTTATTAACGGATTGAAGAATTTATAGAGTACTAACAGATTAAATAAAATATAATCTGTTTTATAATATTAACAGAAAAGTATTTGTTATGGAAAAATAATAACCTTTATTGTGCCATATCGACCACTGCAAAAACCTATAAAAACAAAAATTAAAAATTTTTAACAGACGAAAAAACTTCGAAATTTTTGTTCTATGAGTAAATTAGTTTAGGTTTATTTATTTTTTTTGGAGACCTAAGACAAAGATGTAATGATCTATATAACTTTTTTGATCATGTTCATGCCAAATAATCTTTTATTTAGAGACATTACTTTTAACTCATACCTTTTTAGTTTCTTTTAAGAACAGGTATTAGGTAGGTAAAAAGCAATCAAATCTATTGTAGTGACACCCATAACTTTGATAATAATGATGAAAGCATTACAGTAACAAAGTGACAGTAATGTCCAAAATGTCCCAAAATGTCGATAAACGATAATTCAAATGAAAATTTGTAAAAAAATTCACTGGAAAGCGAATATTTGATCACACTGGTTATTCATTCCCTGGTATAGTGGAGGCGGCTCGAACTATTATAAAATTTTTGAAGTGCATTTTAAACGAAGCTAACGCTTAAAGCTTACAGATAACAAGTCATTAAGACCATTATAATTACAAAAACAGTCGATATGCTTCTAATGAAGCACTCCTGTATGACGATAGGAGATCATAAGATACCAATTAAACGACTGGTTGATCCAGGAAAGCCGATCATTATTTCCGGTGCTTGCCCCAGTATACCTCAAACAATTTTGGAAGAAGAGATCCAGAAGCTAGGGATTAGGCTATTATCACCAATAAGTTTCTTACACTTCGGGTATAAGGAAAAAAACCTGAGCCATGTACTAACGTTCCGACGACAGGTATTTATAGAGGCGGATGATGTAACTAAGTTAAGTAGCACGGTTGCCTTTTCTTATCAGGGAATCAATTACCGGATTTCTCTCGCTGAAGATGTTATAGTCTGTTACATTTGCAAGAAACCGGGACAATTTGCAGCGAAATGTTTAGAAAAAGAACTGCCGGAAGGGTATAATCCGGTAAATATTGAGCACACGCTCCAATCACCTGTAAAGTGACATCAATGGGGATAAGAACTCAATTATATTAAATACTACTTAATCATACAACGATACATCGAGAAAAATCGCTGGAGCCGTTTTTCAGAAAATTGTAAAAATGTGTTTCCCCGTTGATCACGGGCGGATCTACGGAGAGGGGAGTTTTCGGGCTAAAGCCCCACCAAAATTGTAAAATATAACCATGTTTTATGGAAAAAAATTATCTCTTAAAGTATTATTGCTCATGTAATTACATTTAAAAGGACTTCAGGAATCACTTCATATAAGTAGTTGGTTTCTTTCTTTTTTTCCAAAGTAATTATTGTTATTTATATGAAAAAAAAAGCTTTCGGGCTGAAGTCCCTCCCAAAAAAAAAATTAAATCCTGCATCCGCTAGTACCGTTGATATAAAGTGGAACTTACGATTAGCCGATTTTAAAGAAAAAGTTGATGCCAAGTCTAAGGTATGTACCTATGCTAAATACATAATATCAGTTTCGTACGACTTTTCGTTTTTGAGCTAGATTGTTCACATACAAAGAGGCGATTTTGCAGGACTTGTTTGTTTGGACTCAACACTGCAGTTACCTACTCCGGAATAAACTTACTCATCGTCTGTATAGATATAACTTTTCCAATTAGAAACATCACTAAAATGAAACTACTCAAAAATGTTGAAATTGGAGTTAGTCATTCAGTCAACTGAAGGGCTCAAAGACTGAAGTTGTTGTGTGGTTTATAAAAGCAAATGGAGTAACTAGATTTTTATTGCCTACCGTCTATATAACAAATAGACTGCAATTTTAATGGTCTTAATGATTTGTTATCTGTAAGCTTTAGCTCCGTTTAAAATGCATTTTAAACATTTTATAATAGTCCAAAAATGCCAGAAAATAATTTCTGTTCAAAGTAGAGTGAAAGTTGTGTGTTGCACGAATCAGATTTTTTTTAAATACAAGATAGTACCTCCATAGGTTTTCTTCCAACTCTGTGTAGACTTGTCTATGTCTATGTCAACTATCGAATTTCTTACGTCCTCTATGAGAGGATTAAAGGGGACCCTACACGGTCATTCGGAATTGCACTAATGACGTTCCGAATTATTGTGTAAGGTAGTGAATGAAGTACTGATGGTGGTGCGCTGTGGATTTCCGAACATCCCGAAATCAAAGGTTCATTCAACCATATTACTGGATACGTTAGGTTAGCTAGATCTCACAATCATTATAAATTTCTGATTTTCATTATAAGTAAATAGTTAAATAATTTTTCATATCCCTTGTTTATAATTTTAAATCATCTTCAACTATTTCTTTTAAATAGTAAAGTGGGCAACAAATTGAAAAAAAATGGGAAAACATCACAATTTACTTTAAGAAAAAAAAAACTTTAATGTTGCGTATATTTATCAGTTCTTTTGCGATTTTCCTCAACAAACTTATAATTTTCGCAATACCTTTCCTTAATTTTTGTAAGTAGTAGACTTATATTTTACTAACTTTTGTCAAAAAGGTTTTCTATGAGACTACTACTAGATAGGTTAGTTTACCTAGGTCTCGTTATTAAGTAAATAGTTGTTTATATCCCTAGTCTATATTATTATTAACCAGTTTCAACTATTTTTTCTTTGAATAGTCAAGTAGGCAATAAATTGAAGAGAAAAAAAAGTGGAAACTTCACAATTTACTTATAGAAAAAAAACCTTTAACTGTTGTGTTTATTTGCCATTAATTTTTCCATTTTTCTTAACAAATTGATTATTTTCGCAATAATTTTCCTAGATTTTTGTATGTAGTTGACTTATATTTCTTTAACTTTGGTCTAAACGATTTTTAGGCACTAGGAAGTAATTATTATATCTCCGTTTTTCTCTTGATGCCCAATATTATAAATGACAAATGTCCAAATAAGCATATCTATGCTGTTTCTTTGTTTACAACTGAGCTAAATTGGTATCAGCAACGATAAGTAATGATCAGTAATGATTGAACGTGTAAGGGTCTTCATGATCAAAGCGATCGCGGGCAATCTTGGCACTTCTTGTGACGTTCATTCATGAATTACGGTGTAGGGTCTGCTTAATGCTGAGTTCATTCTCAGGCTTCCAGCTGATCATGGTCAAGCTATATGCAGATGTTAATACCTGCCCTAAGTAGGGTGGATACCGAAAGGAGTGTTATGTACCGCACTCAACCCTAATGAACGGATACTATGATCGCTATCTAATTATTTACTTTGACATTTTGTTTAGTTTGGGCCTATGCTCGAAGCCGTGGGATCTTCTCATCTTCTCTCAGAACTGGCCGACTTCCGTATGCGACAAATGGATGCAAGGAAGAGGTAATTCGTGCAGACAATACCCTAACAATATATGGACCGTACATGGCATATGGTAAGTAGATAGTGTAAAAGATAAAGCAACTGAGGCAATTATTTCCAAAAATTACTGTATCATTGTTTGAAACTTTAAAGATGTTGGATTAATTTATTTGTTTTTTTTCTAAGCTATAATTTTAAGTAATAATAATGCGGATGATATGTATAGGGTTGTGCACTAAAAGGTATGTAACGATTTTTTGACCGAACGGCTGTACCGATTTGTTATGCACCCTCTTAAATGTCTATTCAATGAGATAATTTTCTCTTCCCGAATATATTTTATTTAGATAAAAAATAAATTATGAATTATATTACTTTCCAAAAAAGGATTTATTAATTTATTGCCTTCGTCGTAAACCAACGACTGCCTGTCCTACAGTTTCCTTTAACAATACTCCATTTATCCCTGTTGAGCAATTGCGATACCTAGGACTCCACCTGGATAAGCGACTAACTTGGAATCCTCATACCAGACTGAAACGACAAGAAACCGCTCGACGTTTCCGATTACTTCAGCACTTACTAGACAAACGCTCTAAACTTCCCATTAATTACAAAAGACTCATATACTTGACTATAATAAGACCTATTTGGACTTACGGAGTTGAGATATGGGACTCCACCAAACCATCGAATTCCTCTCCCATCCAATCCTTACAATCCAAAATCCTTCGTAAAATCCTCAATGCTCCTTACTTTGTCTCTAATAAAATTATCCATAAAGATCTTAATGTTTCTTATGTTTCAGATCTGGCCCAATCCAGATACCTATCCTTCCATAATAAACTTCAGAATCATCCCAACCCTCTCGTTTCTAACCTTGCTTCCTCTTCAATTCCTGATAACCTTCCGAGGCGTCTGAAAAGAAGATGGCCCCGTGATCTCCTAATGTAGTCATATCATTAGAGTGCTACCATTGGGTAGTTACTCAGCAAGTGTATACATGTCATTATATCTATTATGTCCAAATTTACTACATTTATTTATGTAATACAGTTGTAAAGGTCATTAAGAAATAAAAAAAAAAAAAATTAATTTATTGGAAAATAAATGTTTTACGTTTCCTGAACATTTTTCAATGACGATTGAGGTTCCTTTTAGCTGACCAATGTATTTGCTTCTTCCGCTAAAAGCTATGTAAAGATTTTTTCAGCGAATCACTGGATCGTTTTTAAAGTTTAATGACTGAAATTATTCGGTGAGATTCCCTGAGTGCTTTGAAAAAATGTGACCTAAAAACATATTAAATAAAATGTGTTTGATAAATTTCCAAAGCGGTTTTGATTAAACGGCTGGATCGATTTTTAAATTTGTTAATATAATATATTGTATTATTTAGCGAGGTCCCGTGAGAGTTTAGAAAGCGAAACGACACGAGTTTAATGTGTTCCGCTAAAAAGTCCGCTGTTTTGAGCGAATGGCTGGATCGATTTTCAAGTTTGATGGATTAAATTATTCAGTGCGTTTCCGTAAATGTGAACAAAAATTCAGCTCGAAATGCTGGGAAAAAAATGTATTACAGTTTAAATATCTCGATTATTAATTGATTGGAAGTAATATTATATGATTATATGTTCTGAAAATGAATTGTTAATATTTTAAAAACTAAAAATGTAAAAATAAAAATATATTTTAATTTAAAAAAAAAAAAAAAAAAACAGAGAGGTTTTATATTTTATATTTCCATATCTACTGAAACATCTTGGTAGATTGATAGGGAAATTTACACCTACGAATATTTAAATTTGGTGCAGTAGTCGACTTGCTATCACGTCTCAAGACTCTTTCCTATGTTAACATGTTAACCGATACATGGGACGAAATATATTTGCCTAGAGCCGTAATGTGTAATAAAAGGAAACCGACAACTACACCACGTTTAAATATTCATGGGGGCGGGGTGGCCGAACGGGCTAAAGCGTGTGCACAGCACCGCTAGTTGCCTGGTAACTGGATAACAGAGATTTGAGATGATATAAAAAGTACGAGTTCGCGTCCCGGTGCCGGAGGGGATTTTAAATTCCCCGCCTTCACCCCCCGGCCCGAGAAAATCCCGCACAGCCTAATAGGCGAGGTAGGGAAGAACAAATAAAGAAAAAAAAAGTTTAAATATTCGTATATGTCAATTTCTCTATCAATCTACCAATATGTTAAAGTAGATGTGGAAGTACATTCCATTTGTGCTTGTTTGTTTTAGGTGAAATGATTTATAATAATATAAAGTAATAGTCCATGGTACAGACCTCTTTTTATTAAATTATTAACATCGGCATGAAATTTCGTAAATAGTTTCATCTCATCGTAACCTACAACTATTTTATTTACGGAAACTCTTGGAATTAGGGCGTTTTCTAGCTGGAGGGAGGCAAACTTTGTCTATTTAATTAGCAAGGAAAAACTCGTAAATACTCATTTGCTTACTTCTTGGATTGTAAGATAATTTGATCACAAAGTCGAGAAAAAATGTGGTCTTCAAAACTATTGAGCCCTTTGGCGTGATCTACACCAATATAACGAGGTTATATAGGACAAATGGCCCAATATTTTTGTAGGCCACTTTTTTCTCGATTTTGTGATCGAATTATATTACGATCAAAGTAGAAAGCAAATGGGTATTTACGAGTTTTTAGTACTTAATTAAATAGACAATGTTGCCCCCCCCTTCAGACTGAATACGTCCTCATTCCAAGTGGCCTACAAAAATATTGGGCCATTTGTCCTATATAACCTCGTTATATTGGTGTAGGTCACGCCAAAGGGCTCAATAGTTTTGAAAACCACATTTTTTTCTCGACTTTGTGATCAAATTATCTTACGATCCAAATAGAAAGGAAATGTGTTTTTTCGAGTTTTTAGTACCTAATTAAATAGACAATGTTGCCCCCCCCCTCCCTTCAGATTGAATACGTCTTAATTCCAAGAGTTTCCGTAAATAAAATAGTTGTAGGTTACGATGGTATGAAACTAATTACGAAGTTTAAGGCGGATGCTAATGATTCGATAAAAAGGGGTCTGTACAACGGACTGTAAGGTGTTTTTACTTCAACACATTTATTTCCATTTTAGCATCGGCTAGTAAGCCATTGTATTTAATCATGCTTCTTACATGTAGTCCATAATTGGATGAAACTTTAATCCAATTATGGACTACATGTAAGAAGCATGGTTAAATAAAATGGTTTACTAGCCGAAATGTAACCGATGTCAAAATGGAAATAAATGTAGTGAAGTAAAAACACAGACTTACTTTATATTATTAATAGAAGTACATTCCCATAGGGTGTAAAGAATTTATCAATTTCTGTAGTCGTTTTATTTTTAAATTAATATATTTTTTGGAAATAATCGTCTCAATTGAAGTAGAGTATTATATAAATCGAATTTATAATTATTGTATTGATCTGGCGCTGATGACCTAGATGTTTTTCGCATAACGGCCAACCAACTCCATGTAATCGTTTACAGGCCAACCAAATTGGGAACCGTCGGTCCCGGGTACTGTGACAACAACAATCCGTTTGATTCCAACGTGGTGAGGAGCATTGAGAACGAGATGGATTACTACTGGACATCGATCCACATCCAAGGTTCCAAAACAGGGTTCTGGTCCCACGAATGGAACAAACATGGAACTTGCGGCACCAGCATCCCCCAACTGTCCAATCAAGCTAAGTACTTCAAGCAAGGACTGGATTGGGCTAAGAAATACAACATGGTCGCCATACTTGGAGCCGCTGGGATCGTTCCTGGACAAGAATACACAGTTCAAAACATTAATAATGGTATCAAGCAAGTCATCAAAAAGAATCCTCAAATCGTCTGTTATACAAATGTGAGTATTTTTTATATATTTTTTATTCTTAATATTGTTCTTGGAGAGGGAGGGCTTTCGGGCTGAAGCCTCCCTCCAAAAAAAAAATAGGTACTTCTTGTCTAGGGGGCCGGACTGAAACCTCACTTCTTATATATCTTATCTAACGTCACGTCACATAACCTCCCTCTTCTTATCCCGCCAAACCTTTGAGTTATTGCATTGTTTAGTTTTCAGTTATTCCCTTATTACGTTCACTTATTAAATTCTTTACTTTTGGCCCGTTTGTGTTTATTTTTCATTATTTTTAATTTTTGGTCCGTTTGTGTTTATTTTACATTTTTTTTTTTAGTTGTTGGCCCCTTTGTGTTTATTTTTCATTTTATTTCCGTTTATTTTCGTCATATTATGGATCTTCTTAGAATATGGGATTTGCCGCCTTCAGAAGAACAGGCAATTTCGATATTTTTGTTGGGGTACTTGCCGACGTTAAATTGTGTGAACGAGGTCATCGAATGAAGTTGAACCCGGAAGGCCAAATGGAGATGCTTTCGTAGGACTTATGACACAAAACTTTCAATAAATAAGGAAAGGAACATGGTTGGAGGGCTCGAGGATTTCGTTTTTAACAGCTTTGAAATTGATTTATGGGTAGTCCCATAGCTTGACAACGATGAAGTGGGGCAAAGAGCAGCTGAAACTATCCTACGGAGCTATGGTAACGTGGAACAAATGTCTAAGAGAGGTTTGTGCCCATGACATGTTTAAAGGGGACCCTACACGGTATCGCTTTGATCATGAAGACCCTTACACGTTCAATCATTACTGATCATTACTTATCGTTGCTGATACCAATTTAGCGCAGTTGTAAACAAAGAAACAGCATAGATATGCTTATTTGGACATTGTCATTTATAATATTGGGCATCAAGAGAAAAACGGAGATATAACAATTACTTCCTAGTGCCTGAAAATCGTTTTGACAAAAGTTAGTAAAATATAAGTCTACTGCTTACAAAAATCTAGGAAAAGTATTGCGAAAATAATCAATTTGTTAAGAAAAATGGAAAAATTAATGGCAAATAAACGCAACAGTTAAAGATTTTTTTTTCTATAAGTAAATTGTGAAGTTTCCACTTTTTTTTCTCTCCAATTTAATGACTATTTAAAGAAAAAATAGTTGAAAATGGTTAATAATAATATAGACTAGGGATATAAACAACTATTTACTTTTATGAAATTATTTACTTAATAACTAGACCTAGGTAAACTAACCTATCTAGTAGTAAGGTTAATCTCATAGAAAATCGTTTTGACAAAAGTTAGTAAAATATAAGTCTACTGCTTACAAAAATTAAGGAAAGGTATTGCGAAAATAATAAATTTGTTGAAGAAAATGGGAAAAGAACTGATAAATATACACAACGTTAAAGTTTTTTTTCCTAAAGTAAATTGTGAAGTTTCCTCATTTTTTTTTTTAATTTGTTGCCCACTTGACTATTTAAAAGAAATAGTTGAAGATGGTTTAAAATTATAAACAAGGGATATGAAAAATTATTTAACTATTTACATATAATGAAAATCAGAAATTTATAACGGTTGTGAGGCCTAGGTAACCTAACCTATCCAGCAGTATGGTTAATCTCCGCACTACTTTTACCTCAGCCCCCCCCCTCCACTTCTCGTGAATGAACCTTTGATTTCCGGATGTTCGGAAATCCGCAGCGCACCACCATCAGTACTTCATTCACTACCTTACACGACAACTCGGAACGTCATTAGTGCGATTCCGATTGACCGTGTAGGGTCTGCTTTATATTTTTTCTTTTCTATGTAAATATGTTCTTTTAAATGTGTTTTTTTATCATTTCATTTTGATGTTTTATATGTACATGTCTTCTTAAAGGTTTTTTTTTTTATTATTTCATTAATATATGTGTCGTAAAATAAAAGTATTTTTTTGTCATTACATTCGTTTTTGTATCTGTTTACACTTTCAATAATACGAATTTAATACAATAATACGAAGATATGAAGTAGGAGAAGGCTTATCACTGCGTTATGGGAGTTATCAGTGTTCAGGTTATAAACATTGGCAGATAGTAGTCAGTAGCGGCCCCCTAGACAAGAAGTACCAAAAAATATTAAAACATAATCATGTCTTATCTAAACTTTCTATTGGGAACAAGTTACTGATTTACAAGACAATACTGAAACCTATTTGGACTTACCAACTGTGGGAAACAGCAAAATTTTCTAACATCAAACGCATCCAATCCTTCCAGTCAAAAGTCCTTCAAACAATAGTCGATGCTCCTTTCTTTATAACCAACAAAACCCTACATCATGACCTCAACAACCCATTTGTCCTAGACCTTATCCCAGAAAAATTCTCCAAATTTCACAAGAACCTTATGAATCATCCAAATCCTCTTGCACAATCTGTATCAAACAATTGGTTTATTTACATGTCAAGTTGACGTTTCGAGAAAATTATTCCCATCTTCTTTCCAAGTATATTCCATCTTTAGCATACCACAGCATAAAATTACAACACAAATACAATTTCAATAAACCACAAATATTAGTCACAGAATAACAAAAAACAATAGGAAATTAGTCGAAGTCATCCATATCACAAAAAACAATCGAGCAACAGTAAATTAAAAAACGGACACTAAACACTTGGGAGCACACTATGCAGACATTTTAAATAAAATTAAAATATAGTTAAACTGGAATATAACTATGTAACACACAGTCATTGAATAAAAATAGTAAAATAATAAATAATTAGATCCAAAGGTCAATATTATCCCCCATAGCAGGCACCCAATTATTGGACCTAGGAACGTTGATGCTCCAGATAGTATATTTTTATTATATTTATAACACATAAATTTCAAACCATGACAAAGGAGCACATCAGAACTTAGATAATTATAACATTTTAGGTAACAACACAACTTTAACATGTAATGTAACATGCATTCTTTTTTAATTACCTCTTTACTAGCCATAAATCGATAAGAAAATATGGAATTTAAGTTATGAAGATGGGAATAATTTTCCTGAAATGCCAAATTGACATGTAAATCAACAAATAAACCAATTCTTTGTGTACTTGGGAGTTTTTATTGCCGACAATAAATAATGTTATACTATTAGCTATATTATAATATTAATAATAATATTATAATATTAGCTTCCCAGCAAAAAAGAAGTATATATATAATTTTTTTTTTCTGTTAGCATTATAGGCCTTGTAGTTCTATTACCGATTCAACCACCCTATTTTATTTCTGCGTATTTTAAGTTTTTTGCATGTAGGCATAGGTGCAGACATCGAGGGAAGGTGCATTAAAAATGTTGACGGGGCAATATCGTTTCGTCCTCCAATAATTTGAAGTAAAAAAAAAAAGTTAAAATTGATAATCAATAAGCTGCATGAATGAATGAAATATGTAAACTAAAATCAATTAAGAAAAGTCTACTGGCTATGCTCTATGAGTCGGTACATAACTATTTTATCATGACCTAATTATTCCTACTATTTAAATTTTCATTCATATCCATTTCATTCATATTTAATATTTCATTCATATCATCATATAAAATTTCATTCATAAATATACAAAAATATTCTAGCATTTTATGATTCATTCACCAATCATGTGGACATCTCAATTTTAACGTAATTTTCTTATAAATTTTAAGCTATAAAGTTGGAAAAAATGTTTTTAATAATACAAGTTTAAATATATTTTGTAAAGAATGTTTTTATTGACATGTTTACATAACTACTTATATTGCGAAAACATTTATATTTTTGTTTTTAACGTGCAAACCAAGAAATCAAAAATATTTCATTTTTTTAAGATTATTTATTTTTAGCTGAAAATGTACCTATTTTATGAAAGTTCTCCCCGATTCCCTTCACAATAATTATGTTGAGTTTCATAATATAAACTACAGGCACTTTTATTTTTTTTTTGGTCTATAGCTCCCTCCCCCCCAAATCAAAATGGAAAGTCTGCACCTAAGAATAGAAAGTATAAACTGTTCGGATTATCAAAGGTTAAATTTGAAGTCTGCACCTATGATCTGATATGAAATTAAGTATAATTTAGATGGTGTTCTATTATAAGTAATGTTGAATACAATTCCTGTTTACAGAGCAAACGACAAACCTCACTTCTGGAAGTGCGCCTTTGTTTCGACAAGAGCTTGTCCTTGGTGGACTGCGACGGTACCGCTGTTGGCAAAGGCAGTGGTAACTTATTGACAAACTGCAGGTCTAACAGGGTTCTCTATCCAAGAGCGAACTAATAATTAATCTATCAATGTTCGAAATAGCCAATGTAAATAAACAGAATAACTTAAATGTATGGATTTATTTTATTAATTTATACACCTTTGTTTAAGCTGAAGTTCTAACTAACAACATCAATTTAAAAAAAATATAACTAAAAATTTAATAAATAAACCAATAAAAGAGAACTGGTATCCTAGAAAATTGATAAATAATTTATAGAAAAAAGGAAGACATAAAAAACATCACATGCAAATTTATAGTTATCAATCAAAACAAACTAATTAACAACATTGAAAATAAACATAATCAGGAAAAACAAATCTTACAAACTGCAAAAATAAACTCATTATTCACTTTTTTAAACAAATAGACAATAGTGAAACATTATCCACTAACAGTTTTGAAAATAATGAAATAACTAATAAAGAAAACATCAACTTAAAATTTTACTCACTAATACACAATCAATAGATTAACTGACAACATGCCTAATACTTTCCAAAAGTACGACCTAACAGATTTGACGTTTAATGAAAACCAATTAACAAAATAAAAAATAAAAATACAGATAACAAAGATAAGATCAATAAAAATGAAAAAAACAAACATTATATAAAACATAAACTGCACAGATTGTAAAAATATCACTAATGGAAATAAAACATGTTATATTGGAAAAACAAAATAGAACCTAAAAAAATGGAACAAATCAAAATAAAAGTAATTGCAATTCTAAGACTACAAAATTCAAAACGTGTATAGGCCTCTCAGAACATAGCACACAACAAAAGCATAGCTTTGATTATAATAACACCAAAATATTAATAAGTGAAAAAATGGCTATAAAAACAAGGTCGAAATTAAAGAAACAATATGTAATTTTCAGTCAGGTACAAATGGATTAAACAGAACATATGCTAATATTATTACAAAATTAAAATTTTAATTTGACATTATTAACAGTATATAAAAAATAATAAGAGAAACAATATAAAACTAGTTGGCCCTTGCAAATAATTCGCATAGCATATTTGTGAATAATTGACAATATAATATAGAAATAGGTTAGTAAAATGTATTATGTGCATTAGAGAAAATAATTTTCTTTTACTCCGTGGAATCGCATTATTGCATTCATAATAATAAACAAAAATTTGCATAATAATAATAATAATAATAAATCCTGTAAATTTCTACAGGATGTATCTTTGCTAAAAGTTGTCCGATTTTGATTTTTTTTTTTTTTCCAAGGGAATTTTGTAATATTTCAATAATTCATGGGCACAATCCAGAAAAAAAATGTATACTTTTTGAGTTATTCAAAAATTCTTTTCCTTCATAACTTTTAACTGAAATTTTGGAGTATGTGACAATTTTTTCCAACTGAAGGAAGATCTTCAAAATGACTGCTCAATTATTGGATTTGATAAAGAAGTGAGGAAAATATAGCATAGCGACAAAAAAATTTCGTATTTTATTTAAATTGAAGCTAAGCAACACTGCTGCCATCTATTGGCAGGGAAGAGACAGGAATCCGTTCATGTCTACTTAAGATACCGCTCAACTTACCAGCTAGCAGGCATAAGAATTTTCATTTATTGTAAAATTCAGACAACGTGGCGTAGTGAACTCTAGCAACCCAGCAGGATGGCCTAGACTTAGACGAGATACAAAGCTACCACAACAACACTGCAAGTAATATTAGTTAATGTAGCCACCAACCCACCTAATCAAGCAATAGTTTATTAAATTAAAATCAAAATTTATCAAATGACCCATTAACCAACATTATAATAAATTGGCCAGACAACGACAAATTATAATATACATAAAAATCTGGTGCGCGCAACACACAACTTTCACTTACTGCTCTACTTTGAATAGCAATTACTTTCTGGCAATGCTGGGCTATTATAAATTTTTTTTAAATGCATTTTAAACAGAGATAAACCTTAAAGTTTATAGATAACAAGTCATTAAGACCATTATAATTACAAAATGTCTATTTAATATATCGGCGGTAGGCAATAAAAATTTAGTCACTCCATCTGCTTTTATAAACCACAGAATGACTCTTAACTCCAATTTCAACATTTTTTAATAATGTTATTTTAGTGATATTTTTAGTTGAAAAAGTTATCTATGCAGACAGTGAGTAAGTTGATTCCGGAGGGGTGATTGCAGTGTTGAAATATTGAACGGTGAAAAAGGTATGAATTTACGTACCTATTTCTTATGAAAGATACTTTATTAAATATCTGTAGAAAAAAGTTTTTTTTTATTCTCAACAATTAAAAAATTATATTTTAAATTTATCCAAATTTTCGCCTCTTCCGGGATAAAATCTGTTTTTACAGTAATTTTGAATTTTCATCTGAAAACAAAAAGATGAAATATCCTTTTAGATGACTTACTATTTGACATTAGCACATTTATACAACAAAACACATAATAACATTAAAAAAAATGAATATTAGCCAGTCAACAATATGTACTGTATATAAAAAACTTTGCAAATTATTTCATAATAGTTTAATATTTTTTAATAACAATTATACATCTAAAGTATCATTACCTTCCAAGTTAAAAATAAAACAAAATTAAAGGTGATTCCAATAATTGGACTAAACTTTTTTTTAATCATTAGTAATATGCTAAAACAAAATTCAAAAACCAAAACAAAAGATATAAGCTTTGAAGCAGAACATATTAAAAAAAAAAAGCTACAGACCATATCTTTCCTCGTAATTGTCCGATTTTAACGAACTTTTTTTTGTTTTTTAGAAAATTCCGTAAACTTTTAAAAAAACGTGTAAAATTACTTGCATCTGAATACTGTTTAATGTCAATCTACTGTACAATTGCAATAACAATTAACAGTTAATTAGTTTGTATTTTTAATTAATTTAAGCCAGACTAAGACACATAAATTTGTAACTCTGTTATTATTCTCAGGGGACAATAGTCACAAATAAAATTATTTTTTCATTTCATTCCAATTATTATTTTAAAGAAACCATACTTTTGAAACATCTTATCACAATATCAACAAAAAAGTGTATACTTTTTTGGGTTATTTGGAATTTAATATTACCATCCCTCGTAACTTTTTTTCCAGCTTCTTTTCGTTGAAGTATATTATATGGATAAATTTAATTCAACTTGGTTATTTCGACTCAGGGTACCTCAAAACGTGTATTTCCGTTAAAAACTCAGATTCCAAAATTTTCTCGATCGCAATACTTACCCTTGCTATATATTACATATATACGTAAGTGAAAGTAAAAATATATCAATCATTTCAACCACATATTTTTCTTTGAATCAATTAAACATCCTTTAGTCATACAGTCCATAACAATTAACTAAGAATCAGCAAACTGTAGCAACATTATTATGATATTACGGATAGAAATAATAATAAATGGCATAATAAATTTTAAAAAAACAAAACAAATGTTCCAGTAATAAATTAAACAAATGGCCCTCTGCGCTCAGATTTCATTAAAATCTTTAATGAATAAATCTAATATGATCCTTCAGAAGCATATTAAAAATTAATTATTATAATATCCACTATTAGAAAAGAAGAAGAAGAAAAAGTCTTTTTATTTAACAAAATTACATAATATAAATTACAAAATAATGTTTTTGGATTTAAAATCGAAAATCAGACATGCAACATGGTCTGTTGACCATCAGAGGAGTCTGTGTTTTATAACAAAATTATATTTCAATCCATTTATATACAACTAATTAATAAAAAAATAAGAACAATTATGTTTACAATGTAAAAGTTATATAAATATTTTAATTGCAAAAAGAGTGGTATCAAAATTCTCCAATTTATTAATTGTTAAATTCTCTGGCGAGCATTATTCTATAGGAGAAAGTAGACTTGCAGTAATTTACCAATGCTATCCAATTGTTTCCATTTAATAAATCAATTACTTGATCCCGAGATAAATTTCTATACTTTAGCCATTTAATTTTAAATCCAGAGAGTATCGGACAAGCAGCCAGGAAGTGATAGAGATCTTCTGTTTCGTTTGTATTACTCATGCTACAATTATTATTTGCTTGTTTGAAGTGTTTATAATTTAAGTTCAAAACATCAGCTCTAATCTTAATTACCATTAACTTAATTAATTACATCTCATCACCTTCAATGAGCTTTTGTCATCAATATAATTTACTGAAGTTAAATGAGGATAAAAAATGAAAGTTTTAGAATTCTGGACTTTAATTACATATTGATTATATATGTCTTTCTGAATTTGAGTTCTTAGTAAATATAAATTACCTCTCCATAATTTAACATCATCACAGTTAGATCGATTTAAGTTGAAATTTAATCCATGCAGTTCTATCAGATTAAGTAACTCCCTAAATCATGCGATTTCTTTTTTAATTATCTGTAGAATCAATATTTGTGGATATCTATGTTGTGGAAGATTCAAAATTGTTATAATGTAATCAAAATGGAGTTTAATTGTGAAGATAAATAACAGATCTATTTTAGTCTCTAAGTGAATAAAATGTGTTGGAGTATACTTTGGTAATTTGAATAATTTTTTAAGAAAGAATCTTAGTAGCCTTTCTACAGCTTCATAACTTACCCCACCCCAGATTTGTGCTCCATAGCACGTCACTACCCTACTACCGAAATTAAATACTTGCAATTTTTTGGATAGAGCTATATCTTTCTTTGTTTTACATAAATTGGCCCCGAATCAAATTCAAACCCACCTTGGCTTTTTCCAGTTTTTCTGCCAGGTGTTGAGGCCATTGAGTTGTGTTGTGCCAGGACATTGAAAGAGTAGTAGGGGTGAGGAACTATTCCTAAGTATTTGTACTATTGAACTATGTCAATACTTTTGGAGCCCAGGAACCATTTTTCTTTAAATGAAGTCTTACTGCCATTGCGAAAGACCATTATTTTAGAAATATTCACTATTATATTAAATTATATATTTATTTTTATTTTTTTATTATTTTAATGGAATTTACAACTGTATTACATAGAGAATACAATAAGTAAATGAGAAATTGGTAACATGGCATGTAC